CATCAACAACAACAAATCACACAAACAGAAACCTGCATCCAGCATTAAGATTTAGGGAAGGGTGCCAAAACACATGTCCCCAAAGTCTAACACTATACTATATATTGGATCAGATTGCAAAACTTTCCTAAGAAAGCACCACAGTACTAAGTAGAGAAGACTTTGGAAGATGACTAACGAACCCCCAAGTCTGCAGTGGGAAGGTCAGAACATAGAAGAGAAGGAAGCCCACCACTTTGGATGCTGTTCACTGGAGTCACTGAACAGCAGCTTCTCTCCACCACGTGGAGAGCACACAATAAGGAGGTCTGGCATGACCCCAGGGTGCAGGAAGCTGGAAACTGACAAAGCAGGATACAGGGTGAAAGTGTGGCCCATGAAAAGGGTCCATCACAGTCAGAGACAGCATGGCACCATGAAGAGGTCTTGAGGCTGGGATCGCTCCCAGCTCCACTCCTTCTCACTATCCCCAGTCTAACTAAAAACTACAACTAACCTACTAATGCAAACTAGTATCACCAGCACTGCAGCTCCTGCTGCAAATAAGGGAAACTATGGCATTGAGTTATCTAAGACAATCCATTCACCCTGACAATAATCAAACATCAGTCCTATTAGGAATTCTTTATGTTTGAGGAGAATAAATGGGAAAACAATTCATAAAACAAACCCACAAACATTTCTAAGACATAAAACGGCATGAAGCAAACTTAAAGACGGTCTCTTCTATGTGCAGTCAAAACAATAAAAGTGAATGATACTGATGTAATGAAAGAAGAGATGAAAGATGACTCACAAGACAATGGGCTGTGACTAGAGGAGGCATGCCAAAGGGCAGGTGGAAATACAGAACTGGACAGAATGAAGAAAACTCAAAATGCAATAGATTTATTCTCCATTAACAGCAATAAAGAGCTGAATCACCAGTGGAGGAAATAAAAATGAATGCTATAATGTGCAAAGTTAACAAGTTTACCTAGAGGGAGAAGGAAGGGAAAGAGCTAAGAAAAGAGCGAAAAGAGAAGAAAGTGATAAATGATAATTGGGTGTAAGGTGGAATAAAACATACTAGTAAATGTTATTTCAAAAGAATAAACCAGAATAAACAAACAGGAAAGTGATTAGACATAATAACAAAAACGAATACGAAACCAACTATAATTGTTAATTTTTTTGAGCCATTATTATGTAATAAGTGTAGTAATAAATGCTTGATTACTATTTTTTAATAGTAGCTGCTTTATACACATTAATTCTTTAATTTTCAGGAAAACACTAAGTAGTGGGCATCATTATTATATCCATGTTAGACATGAAGAAATGAAATCAAAATAATATAACAGGAAATTTTTTTTCAACTTAAGTAAACCTGAATCAACAGACTTAAATGATTTAGCAGATCACATACCAACCAACAAACAAACCCCTAACAATTGTGTATTTATGTTTTGAATTTCAAAGATCGGGAAGACATCACAGAGATCTAGGCAGGGGAAAACACACACATATGCATATAGATATGTACATATATATGAAAAATTATATATATAAATTGTACATATATATGAAAAACTAGTTTTCAGATTTTGCCATAGTGAATGCATGAAAGCAATGAATTAATATCCTCAGTGTTTTAAAGAAAAAGGTTTATCTCACTTACATTACATCTAGCTAAACTGTCAACATACACATGGGCAACAAAAGCTAATGTCAGATACACAGGGGCTCAGGAATTGAACAAATACATATAACCCCGAGAAACTGCTGGAAGAAGTATTCCAGCTTTACAATAAATTAGTTAAAAATATTAACAAAAGTAAAATTTAGTAAAGTAGTGCTATAGAAAATGAGCATACATATATCAACAATATCTATATGTAAATGACCAGTTAGTAGATATAAGTGAAGAGAAAAACCTACATATAATAGTAACACAAAATAAAATAGCTAGGAACATGCTTAATATGAAACATGCAAAACCTATATGAGGAAACTTTAAAACACTCCTGAAAGAACCCACAAAGCAAACCTGAATAAATGAAAAGACACAGCATATTCTTGGATAGAAGACTGAAGTCTGTAACTTGTCTGGGAAGACAGAAGGAACAGGTTTGAGAGGGGATAAATCAGGGTTCTACTTTGGTGATACTGAGACTGGCCCCCTGAGAGAGGTCACATATGCAACAGGTCGACTAGTACGGAACACCATGGAGAGGTCAGCATGAAAGCTATGAATTTGCGAGTCCTCCACATATGCCACTGAGCAACAGTGTGTATTTGGAGAAAAGAAAGGTACTCAGGACAGAAACGTGGACATTCCAACATTTACAGATTAGCTAGGAGTGGAGACCTGTCACAGAAGACTCTGTGGGTAGTGACAAGAACAAAAGCCATGAGTGGGACACCCTAGAAGCCAAAGACAATCAAATCAATCGGGGAGGGAATTTCTTCCTGTATTCCCAGTGCCTAGCTCATAGTAAGAATTCAGAAAAGTTGTTAAATGGATAAAAATATGGATAAATCAATGAAGAAATAAGCTTCTTCTAGAAAAAATACTGTGAAAATGGACGCAAGGGGTAGATGAAAACAAAACCTTTAGATGAATCCTGCATGTGTACTATATGGATATGTGTATATGCAAATATAACAAAAATAATCCTAACTTCTAATTGAAGGCCTAAATACAGCTTTATCTTAAAAGAATAATACAACATGGCCACTTATCTAATAGTACCAAAATCTCTAGTAAAATATCCAGCCAAATGTGCACTGAATTACTACAATAGAAATGGAAAAGTATTAAGTATTCATTAACAAAATATTGAACACTAGGTGTACAAATAATGTGGACTCATTGGTCTTGCAAAGATCCTGAAGACCATGCAACTCTCTCCCCCTGTCCCTAGATGGGCCATCAGAACCTGCTCCTTTCCCCCAGCATTGCTGTCTTCTTCCAACTTGTCACAAAATCCTCTTTCAACAAATGACTGACATCTGGAACTTCCAGCAATCCCTAGAGGTCTTCAAACAACCTCCTGGCAACCAGCTAGAAGCCTGGCATGAAGTTTATTTTATTATTTTTTATTTTAAAATTTCCAGAAAATGTATAGGGTTAAAATTAAACCTGTTACTATAATAACTATTTAGTCTCTCTTTATGAGCAGTTCCAAAATGCTATGACTGATTTCATACATGCAGCCATCAGAGTTACTTTCATGATGTCAGTTATGTTCTTGACCATATTTATTCAAAACCATGCTGCCAGACTGATGCATTTCTGTGTGCAAATCTGTTATATCTTTAGAATAGTCACCAGTGCTTCCCACTCTTCATAAAATCTAGCCTTTTACTCTGCAGAGGTTGAACTAGTTCATTCAAACCAACAGTCAACCTACCAACCAACAACTTGTTTTTCAGCCAGTCATAAATATGACTAAAGAACATGTATGTTCTTTTCTGGATATGATCAATTTTATCTTTCTATATACCTTCTAACAAAGCTTTACAACTTCCTTAAACTGTTGAGCAAGCAAATCAAATCAGTTTTTCATACATGTTATAGCTAAAATGATATCTCATGTATAAATTATAAACAATGACTGTTTCTTACTAGCTTCTCATGTACCTTTTCCTTGCTCCCCAGACTATTACTAAAGTACACTTTCGGTCTTCACTCACAAGAAATACTCTTGAATCCACTTCACCCTTTGAGCAACAGTATTTTTTGTAAAACAGTAGTTTCCTGGTTGTCAATGACTGTGCAAATCTGTTGTTTTTTTTTTAAATTTTATTTTATATTTTTTAGCACTGGGAGCTTTTGTGTGAGTGAACCTGAGCTGAGACTAAAATGTGAACTTGGTAAGACTGTGACTCCTTGTCCCGGGAATCACCTCCTCTTTTCACTTAGTAACAATATGATGCTGGAGTAGGTGCTTCATCTTTACTTGTTTTAATCCTTTTTAACTTGCTAGGATAGGTATTCTAAAAGCTCATGTACCAGTTGAGCAGGTGCTGTGGCACAGGCATTTATGTATTGAATTACATCTACATTTTCTGATGACATGGTTTTATAAAGTTAGCTCGAAATGAGGAAAAATAAAAACTCTGCCTTTCAATGTTATCTCTAAACCATTCTAAGGTGGTAACCACCAGAAGCAAGAACAAAAGCCATGCTGAATTCTTTTCTAATTGAAGTGATGGTTTGTTGTGTGGTTGGTGTATTGTCATCTTTCCCTATCATGTCATTCTCAGTCACTGTAATACCAAATTTTATAAGCTTTTTGTTTGTTTTCTTAGCATCTTCTCTAAACAAAACACATCTTATTTTCACTTCAGGGATGTACATTGTTTGCTGTATGTGAAAGCTCTTACATGACATTTTTAAAAAGTCATTAAATGCCTTCCATATGTAGGAATTTGTTCTAGGCAATGTTCAATGTGGGCTGGTGGAAACTGTTCCCAAACTCTGGAAACTAGCTTAGTGCTGCAGAGCAGACATATTGTCTACCACAGTGAATGGCTCCATGACTTAAATAAGAGCATTAAAAAACATCATGTAGGCATGATCAAAAAAATAAAAATTACAAACAACATTGTTTTCAAACCTCGCGCAAAAATAGAGTTAAGGAAAATTATAAATTAATGAGATTTACCTTTATGTGTTTTATGAAGGGAAATTTCATTACTTTATAATCACTTGCTGTATATTATATCTACAATTATTTATGAACACACATATACTTTACCCATTCTATAGTCATCAATCACCTGAATCAAAGTTCATGAAATGGAACATTAAATATATGAAAAATTGTTAAAACTTACTAAATAAATTTTAGTTAAATTATGTTGACTACCATAAAATTTGTATAAATATGAAAAGCATAGTTTAAATGTAAATAGTTTTAGATTTGCTTGCTTGCCGTATTAGCCCTAAGAAAAACATATTTCTTAAAACCACAAAGAAAATAATTCTATCAATGGGAAAATGATTTATTTACCTGGATCTTCTATAGTTAAGTTCTTTATTAACCACTGAACAATGTCTGACCCTAGAAAAAGAAAAAAGAAAAACACAAATATTTGTGAACATTTGTTTATACATGTTAACTTTAAGAACTCTTAACTTCTGGCACTCACATTAGTAGGAATGTTTGTTTTATGTTTTTGCATATATCTTTTTTTATTAAAGTATAGTTGACACACGATGTTACACTAGCTTCAGGTGTACAACATAGTGACTCAACAAGTCCACATGTCATGGGTAGGCTCACCACAAGTGTAGCTCTCATCTGCCCCCATACAACCCTATTACAATACCAGTGACTATATTTCCAATGCTATACTTTTCTTCCCCATGACTTATTGTGTAACTGGAAGTCTGTATCTTCCACTTCCCGTCACCCATTTTGCCATTCCCCTCTTCCGCTCTCCCCTCTGTCAACCACCAGTTTGTTGTCTGGATGTACTCTCTGAGTCTGTTCCTGCTTTGTTTGTTTTTAAGATTCCACATATTAGTGAAATCATACGGCATTTGTCTTCCTTTGTTTGACTTATGTCATTTAGTGCAATACCCCCATAGAGGTCCATCCATGTTGCAAATATCAAGGTGTGCCCAGGTGAAAACTAGTAAATTATTTAATATGAAATATTTAAACACAAAGGTTTAATATACTTGTAGTGAATAAGATGATTCATTCGTTCATTGACTACATGCTTATTGAGTGGCCACTATGTTTGAAGTACACAGACCTATGTTTGAAGTACTATGCCATGCTAAGAATTAGCATGGCATAACCAATACTTTGTAAGATGGTCCTTTTATCTACTCTCAAGCCAAGCCAAAATTTTTGTTAGCTTTTGAAAACTCCTATGTGTTTCAAGTCTCCATGTCTTTATAGTACTATTCTCTTTGACCAAAATGTCTTACCACTATTTTCAAGACACTCAAGATTTATTTACACAATAGAACTTTCCTTGACCCTCATTTTTGTCCACTGAGTTTACAGCAACCTCCACTGAAAGTGAACTGGTCTCAGGAAACAAACTGAGGGTTGCTGGAGTGGTGGGGGGTGGGAGGGATGGGGTGGCTGGGTGATAAGACACTGGGAAGGGTATGTGCTCTGGTGAGCACTGTGAATTGTGTAAGACTGATGAATCACAGACCTGTACCCCTGAAACAAATAATACATTCTATGTTAATAAAAAAATTTAAAAAAAAGAAAGTGAACTGGTATCTCTGTAGTCTTGTACTGTAGTACAGATCATACAATGTTGCAACTGTTTATTTGAATAAAGCCCTCAAGTAAGTACCTTGAAGTGGGATAACATATTCACCTTTCTACATTTGGAACAAAGCAACGGTTTGATAATGTGTGATGAATAAAAAACATGAGCAAATATAGGTTTTCACTTTATAGAGAATAAAATGAAAGAGGGTCTGCAGAAAATGTAATGTTTGAGCTAGATTTTGATATACGAAAAAGACAAAACTTAGTTACTGAAGGCCTATGTCAAAATTAAAAAGGGGGCAATAGGCAATAAAAACTATTGCATTCTTTCTATATACTACGTGCTGGGAATAACAGGAACTTGACACTAATAAAAGTATTCACAGTGTATTCAGCAGATCTTGAATTCCAGGCAAAAGAATTTTAGATTTTTTTTTCTATATGTCAGGCAGAGAAAGGGAGACATGGTATGTTCTGTTGTGTCTGGTTTTAAACAGAAGAATGACCTTATCAAAACAAGTTTAAGGAATTCGACTGGCAATACATGTGGGAGTGCCTTGGGCCAGTCAGACAGAAAGCAGGGAAGCCAACATTTCTACTGTTCGAGATCCAGGATTGAAAGGAAAAGTACTGAACTAGTTCAGTGTACAAGCGAACTAAAGCAAAATTAGAGGCTTGCTTCAGGACTTTGTGCCTAATAAGGTATGGGGGTGGCCAGTGGGAGAACCGTAAGAGAACTCAAGGTTTCCAGTGCAGGAGCATCGTGGATGAAAAGAATGGTGAAAATATGAGGAGAAATGGGAGATTCAGGAGGAGGACTTGATTTACCTGAAATATTCATTTCTATTTAAATTTAGTTTTCAGCATCATTCATTTCTACATAAAATAGCAAAAAATATGTATGAAAATAGCTTTGTATACATAGTAAACTACAGCAGGGCTGCATGAATGAAATTTTGTGTGACCTGAAATTCCACTTCTACCTCTCTTGGAGACTGACTTCCGTCGCACCTGAGACGTAGCATATGACTGATGTTGACAATGGCTAAATAATTCTTGCTGCTTCATGCAAAATAGTTCAGAACTATCTTCAGAGTAAACTTGGGAGCACCTGGCTGCCTTAGTCAGTAGAGCATGCAACCCTTGATCTTGGGGTTGTGAGCTTGAACCCCACGTTGTGTGTAGGGATTACTTTAAAAAATCTTTTAAAAAAATAAAAAATAAAATATGTATGCATTTTTTAAATGACTTCATGTGTTGAATCACTTGTGTTCTTTTATAACTGTTACTTTTACAACTGCCATTGATTTCCATACAGGTGAGAAGATGGATTCACCTTGATCCTAACGCAGCTCTGGGGGAAGGAAGGAAGGAAGGAAGGAAGGAAGGAAGGAAGGAAGGAAGGAAGGAAGGAAG